ATTTCATTGTATTAAAGTTAGGTACAATATATATATGGATGCGCAAATATTATATCTTTGAACAACAGTAAAAAAATAATCCTGTATTTTGACAATTTATACTCTACATAACAGAACTCACCTAAATTTTGCAAGTGGCTTAATGTGAACACGTTTGTTGTTATTTTTTAATAACAAAACAGTTTGATTTTTTAGTGAGATATCCTAAATTCTTTCCGCTAGTGTTTTCATGTAGTGGCATTACACCTATTATGTAGAAATTCTAATGACGTGTTGCAGGTGGAATCAAACTGTCACTAGGATAAAAAGTATGTTCATCTGCGTTTCATTTTGATACTATTATATACATAAGGGGCGACAAATGAACAATATTATACGTACATAGATATTTTGCGTAAGTTAAATATTCTTTGATACCTGCTTCTACGTAAATAATAGTGAAATGTTCAGTTTAAAAGTTTTAACAACTTAAAGCAATAGAAAGAAAATGGTAGCTGCAGGTAAAAAGACCAGGTTAGTTCATTAAAAGTTTAAGAGATAAAATTAAAGAAAAGTATCATAAATTTAAGAAATTTAAATTAAATGATATGACAAGAGACTTAGAAGATCAAGAAACTTGGTGAAACAGGAAATTAGGACATCAAAAAAGGTTGGCTGAAAACAAAAATTAACAGTAAGGATTTCTTTAAATACATTAAGGGTAAACAAAATGTTAGGATGGAGGTAAGGCCCTCGAGGGATGATAAAGGAAGGCTCGTATCTGATAATTATGAGATGGCTGGGTTATTAAATTTTGCTTTTTCTTCGGTTTTTACAAACGAAGATTTAAGCAGTAATCCACATCACGAATAGTTGGTAAATGGAAACGAGATCAAACAAGATGAGTGCATTAATTCTGAGATGGTTAAGAAAAAATTGGGAAGTTTAAAGAACGATGTGGCTCCTGGGCCAGATAATATTTCTCCAAGAGTTTTGAAGGAGATTAAAGATTGGATATGTGAGCCACTTACTACTTATATTTTGTCAGTTCTTGAACAGTGGGCAGGTACCAGAAAATTGGAAGTTAGCTAATGTAACTCCTCTTTTCAAGGGAGGTGATAAAAATTGTCCCAGTAATTATAGACCCATTAGTCTTACGTTAGTTGTGGGGCAAGTTTTAGAAAGTCTGTTAAAAGATGCTTTGCAAAGTCATTTAACAAAGTTTTGAATTTTATTGGATAGTCAACATGGTTACGCAGGGGAAAATCTTGCCTTACAAATCTTTTGACATCCTTTGAAACGGTTGCTGCTTATGTAGACGAGGCTAAGAGTGTAGATTTGGTATATCTGGATTTTCAGAAAGCATTTGACAAGGTGCCACATAAAAGGCTTGTAAAGAAAATTATCTCTATAGGTATTGGGGATGAGTTAGGAAACTGAATAGAAGAGTGGCTGGATGGAAGAAAGCAGGGTGTTGTTATAAATGGAGTTCAGTCAAACTGGATTAATGTCACAAGTGGGTACCTCAGGGCTCAGTCTTGGAACATTTGGTTTTTTTATTTACATCAATGACATATATGAAGGAATGGTCAATAAATTATTTAAATTTGCAGATGATATTAGGATCTTGGATGTCGCTAGCTATGAAGAGGATGCTACTGATTTACAAAATAATTTAGATCATTTAGTGAGTTGGGCAAGTAAATGGCAGATGGGTTTTAATTATAATAAATGCAAGATAATGCATGTGGGTTATCATAATTTGAATTATAAGTATAATTTGGATGGGAATAATCTTAACAGTGGTATGAAAGAAAGGGATCTTGGTGTAACAGTTGATCAGCCTTTAAAGCCATCCAAGCAGTGTGCTGTTATTAGTGATAGAACAAATAGGATTTTAGGTTGTATCTACAGAAATATTGAATATAAGTCTAAAAATGTAATAATTTCATTATATAAGTCACTGGTTAGGCCACATTTGAAATATTGTGTTCAGTCTTGAGTTTCTTACCTTAGAAAGACATTGAATTTTTGGAAAGGGTTCACACAAGGGTTACTAGAATGGTGCCTGGGATGGAGGGGTTGTCATATCAGGAGAGGCTGAAATCTCTCAAACTATTTTCTTTGAAAAAAGAAGAGTTAGAGTGGATCTGATTGAGGTGTTTAAGATTGTAAAGGGAATTGATAGTGTTGATGCATCATTTTTTTTCATATTTAACAGTGAGAATTATATGACTTTGGGACACAAGTATAAATTTAGGCAGGTTAGGAATCATCTTCAGCTAAGACAGTTATATTTTTCTAATAGGATGATTGGCCTTTTGAATGGATTGCCTTCGGATGTTGTGAAGGCAGTAAATTTAGGTGAGTTTATGAAAAAGCTTGATAAGTATATGAATGATAAGGGCTGGCTTTAAGATGTTTAAAATTTTATTTTAATTTAGTTTAGAGGATGGAACAGCCGAGATGGACCAATAGGTGCCATGTTGTCCCAAAACGTTATATTGTTGGAGCCTATGCATTGCTAAAGTAATTGGAACATAATAGTGAATATGTCAACCTGAACTTAAAAAAAAACATTACACAAGGCAAATTTATTAAACTCTTCTAAGTAAGTTATATGTTTGATTTTAATGTTCGTAGCGCTTAACAGGTAACCAGCAAATTTTCCGTCAATAAGGAAAATATGCTTGAAAGAAATTTGTATTGGATAAAAACTGTGGAAAATCAACGCTCACGACTCCGATAAACTCGCGCTTACGTCGTGATCAACATCTTACTTCGAATACACACAGCCTATAACGTTTAGCCCTAAAGTATTGATAAATGCCGAAATATTGGGTGATACAGAGCTTAACCTGGTTTCCAAAAGTAAATGGTAGTTTTTGCAATAACAGTTATATCTTAAAACTATTAAAATATATTACATTACTCACATAACAAGATGTTTTATTACATTATCAACACTAATTGTATAAACACCTTAAAACACTGGCCAAACTGAGCAGTTATGAGGAGGGGGAGGTCCATGTTTTATATTACAGTCAATTTTACTATACAATATACAACACAATCGAAAGGCACTTAGCCAGAATGTTTTTGAAAAAAAATTACACAGAAAAAGATTCCAAGTCTCTTATTCTTCAAATTCAAACTTTTATGTTTGCAGCTATGAATTGAAATTACGTTTTTGTTTTGTTTGTTTTTCTCAACTGAGTAATTAAACTAGCTAATCTCAAAAAGTAAATGCACAGCATTGTCTTTAATGCAAGCTTTTGTTCTTCTTTTACTATTGTACTCATCTCAACAGTTATGATATTTTTACAACTCCTAAACTTTGGTCTTAATTTTCATCCTTACCGAATCAGTAGTTAATTATGAGACATAAAAAAAATTAAAGAAACACTTCAGAACAGGACTTGTTCGGTCAAGTCCAGTCTGTATACAACTATTTCATTCACAGTATTGTCCGAAGTCTCCTAAATACATTACTGTGACGTTCTTCATCGTCACTAGACTAAAGGCAAGATTTTCCAACTTATTCACTGAAACAATGGCATGACATCACAGCTTGGAAATGAGCTATTTTTTCTATTAGTTATTTGATCCCAAGGCGATTTTTTCAGCGGTGATAGATTTTCTGTTTCGTGATACGGTTCAATACTTAAAAGAACACGTCGAATTATACATTAATATAATATTTTGCTTTCTAGTGATATTCAAACACTATTCGTACCCAGACTGTATATCCACTGCTATACTGCTGTTGTTGTTTTGTTTAGTTTTGGAGCAAAGCCACACAATGGACTATCTGATCTATGTCCACTGTGGGAAATCGAACCCCGGATTTTAGCGTTATAAGTTTTAAAGCTACCGCTTACCCATCGGGGGACCCACTCCTTTACAGCCACAGACATTGTAAAGTAACACCATTATTTTAAATTTGATTAAATCGCATGAATTTGTGGTCATTTTTGTTAAAACAAGTCCCCTAAGGCAGCGTTTCTCAAATTAGAATCCGCGAGGGTACTCCAAGGGGTCCGCGAATCATACCCGAAATTTGATAAAAATATTTGTAAAAATATGATTTATAGAATAAAAATGTTTTTCTTTTTTTATGAAATTAAATTTATATGAATTAAAACATTTAATTTTGTAATACAACTTTTCATGTACAAAAACCTTTTTTCAAAACAAAAAATGTCGATAGTTTTATGGATCGGCGAAAAAAATGTAATTAAAAAGGGTCTTCGGATTACAAAAGTTTGAGAATCGCTGCTGTAAGGTATTAAGCTCCAAAACGGTTATCTTAACAATAAAATTAGAACTCGTGCATAGTCATTTCATTTTGTTGATACTTTTTTTTTTACAACTGGATATGGGTCATTTCACAAACTTGGCCCTAACAATCATCCTTATTGGATCAGCAAAGTTAATTATCAGATATAAAATATTTAAAAATATTCAAAACAGGCCTTGTTTGGTCAAGGCCAATCTGTTCACAACCATTTCATTTACAGTGTCGTCTGAAAGATCAGTGCTTCTTTTCAATTTCACATCTGTATTGTTACCATTTCATTTACAGTGTTGTCTGAAAGATCAGTGCTTCTTTTCAATTTCACATCTATATTGTTACCATTTCATTTACAGTGTTGTCTGAAAGATCAGTGCTTCTTTTCAATTTCACATCTATATTGTTACCATTTCATTTACAGTGTTGTCTGAAAGATCAGTGCTTCTTTTCAATTTTACATGTATATTGTTACCATTTCCTGCAACACAGTAGTCAATATTATATAACTTGTGTTCCTCTCTTATTGTCGCGCTTTCTAAACGATTACCAGCAATAGCTTCAAACTACACTTGCAAATTACAGGATTTATACACCGAATGCTGATCGATGATTAAAAACTGATGTTTAGATGATACTAATTACTGTGGTTATATATATATATACACACTATCAGTATCTACAATCCGAGTGGACAGAAGTTCCACACAACGTAGTGGTAGACTCATCATTAGGGTTCTAGTGGTTCAGTTCCTCTAGTTGGTAGGCGAGGTGAGTGCTCAGCAACCTGACCTTGACCTTTGCAGCTTCTGCTATGCACAGCTAAACGGTCGGGAAAGAAGGTACGACCACAACGACAACACGGTACTAGTTGTTCCAAGTGGATTTGCCAAGCCTCTTGAGCCATGGCATCATAGTCTGTCGTGTCGTCTTCTGGTCAAAGAATAATAAAAACATGAAGCATTGTTGGAAATAAAAGTTGGTAACATTCTTAATTATATCTATGGCATGAAGTTAGAGTTGTATATGTATCTAGAGTGTTTTTCAATCGTTATGTCAAAGGATATTGAAGCGAATCTAATATTATGATTATTAGGCAAAATAATTATAAAAATCATCAGGGCTGATCCAGAATTTTAGCTAGGAAGCGTGGCTAGTTGATAAAGTTTTCCCGGTAAACGTTTTAAACCTTACAACCTGGATGATTCCAAAAATTATGGATATGACAGAGGGTGCTGTATTTTAGTCCCTCCCTTCTTATTACATGTACTTTAAGACTTTTAAAGGTCTTCTCGAAGTATATATGACAGCTAAACTGTGTATTATAAGATATTTGCGAAAATGGGAAGAGGAATGAATAGGAAAAGGTGGATTAGCTCCTGATTGGTTCAATAAGATACAAACTAATTTTAGTTATTTAAGGAGTTATTTGGTTAAAGCACAATATTTCCGTTAGAGCTTACCTCGGGTTATTGTTTCGTGTTTGGGGGATTCAGGTCTCTTTGTTTCTTTAGACAGTTTACAGTTTTCTATTCTCCGCTTCTGTAAGCATTGCGACTCGTGGAAAGAGACGGAATTGGTGTCAGACTCTTGACCACAGATGTAGCAAGTGATAAGATGACTCTTTTTTTGAACAATTTCTCTAGGCGCCTGCTGTTCGGAAAACATCAAAACTACATATTATCATCCTTAAAGCATTTCAATTCACTCTTTGTTATCTGAAAAACAAATGTTATAATTTTTTGCTTCTCTTGCAACCAAAAGAAGTTATATTTCCGTCACCAATGAAAATTATGTTAAGACAATTTCATTATCATTCGCTCTTAATTCCTCGTATGTAACTCCGTGTATGCCAAGTACTTGTTTGTATTTAAGCACAAAGCTACACAACTGGCGATTTGTGCTCTGCCAACCACGGGTATCGAAAGCCGGATTCTAGCGTTGTAAGTCCGCAGACATACCGCTGTGCCACTGGGGGGGGGGGGGGGGCGCCAAGTACTTACACCAGGTTTTGAACTTGACATCTGTATTAAACCTCTAAACTTTGGAATTCAAACAATCATGTTCATTATCACACGTCACGTAATTAAAACACACACAAAACTGCAGTCTTTAAACACTCGAGTATATGGAGTATCGCTATGAAAAGCATTATCTATCTATATACATATGATAGTACTGTCTGTTGTCTATCCATGTAACTACTTCGCAGGGTGTGTATGGATCTTCACCAATATTGGTATAGAGGTTCATTAGATCGATGAGGGGGTACATATAAATTTTTGCATTTCGCGGTTTTTATGGGCGTTTTTGCGTTTTTTACCATTACTTCGCCTCCTGTATATGGAGCTTCATCACATTTGGTACGGAGGGTCATTTGGCTCATGGGAAAATACATACAAATTGTTTAAGTTTTGCACCACTACCTCACCTCCTGTGGATGGATCTCCACCAAATTTGGTATGGGGTTCATGGAGAGATACACGCAAATTTTCAGTTTTCGTTTTGCGGTCTTTATGGGCGTTTTTTTCGTTTTTTACAATTACATATAAGAGAAGCAAATTTTCATGTTCTTAAATAACCTTTCATTAATCATGAATCTACAAAACGTTCGTCCAGGGGACAGGTACTCCAACTAGTATAACAATAAATGTAATGCTTTATAACATCCTTAACCAAAAATATTTCAGATACATTATCTGATGCATTACGATACTTGCATGACAAAAAAAAAAAATGCTGGGCCCGCCATGTCCAGGTGGTTAGGGCGCTCGACTCGCAATCTGAAGGTCGCGGGTTCGAATCTCCGTCACACCAAACATGCTCGCCCTTTCAGCCGTGTGGGCGTTATAATGTGACGGTCAATCCCACTATTAGTTGGTAAAAGAGTAGCCCAAGAGTTGGCGGTGATGACTAGCTACTTTCCCTCTAGTCTTACACTGCTATATTAGGGACGGCTAGCGAAGATAGCCCTCGTGTAGCTTTGCGCGAAATTCAAAAACAAACAAACAAATGCTTCATCTTGTTGTACAATAGAATATTCGTAAAACCTTAACCGCTTATATT